ATCTAGCAGCGCTATAACCGCGTCGGTCGCTTTTGACAAAAATCGATGAGCCTGTATCGAGAGCTTTTTAATTCGACTACCATATTACTTCCCCACGTCAGATCTATATAGTCGACAGCATCGTAACTATTCCAGTGCAACTATCAAAAGCAAAGGATGCTCAACCCACATATCAACATTTACTTGTCATCATGTGTGTCCCATTCTGGGTAACTAGGAAATCTTGAAACGACCTCGATGTTGTGGCGTTGTATCGCTCTATTTCAATTTGGAGTATGGTTTGGTAGACGCAAAGTACTCATTCGCCAGGAACACAAGCGAGAATAAAGTCGTTCGGCTTGAATATTATGCAAGAAACGAATCGAAAATTGCTTTACGTGACCCTCATACAGACAAGTATTCACACATTCGCGGCAGTCTTTAGGAGTTAAAGTGTCTATCGAGATGCCCAGAAACTAATCATTTAACATACCAAGTATCTTCAGTGTCAAGTCCTCTGACAGACCATAAGCTTTTTTCACTAGCTTCTCACAATGCACCGATAGATGAATTGAATATAATGCAGCAGCCGCACCGAATGAAGTTCCATCTCGATATTTTCAGTAATTGATAACTTTGAGCCATAGCCTGATTATCGTTTCAGCAATTGTGATATAACCCAACAGAATCTTGAGGAGATCGAAAGTTGGACAGCAACTGCTGTTTTGAACCATTTCTTCCAGCATCTCACGTGAAAGTTGCGAGCTAGGCTTGAAGTTCCTCGCATTCATTTCAAATCATTTTGAAAAGCTAAAGTCTTGAGGTTTCCTTGCATTTGTGACTGCGGTATACATCCAAGCTGCCATAAAAATGGGTCGAGAATGAAAGGCAAACCAGGAACTCCTAGCCTTCAAGACAGCAACTTCTCACCGTACGTAATCTGAACTTCATCACCCTCGTACTTGCCTCGACACGTCATATACCAGTTATCATTGCTGAGTACTTAAAGTAGAGTAACATCTTAATTTCCTCACTGATATTGAGACCTGGGAATCTGCTGACAAATTTTAAAAGCAATTAAAATTTAACCTTCGAGGTTTGAGAGTCTTTGTCACACACCTTCATGTCCGCTTAAGTACTCTAGAAATTCTCCCTCCATTCCAGAATTCGCCGGCTTGAGGTAAAATGGTAAAGCTCAAGTGTGCGATCGTTGGTGCGGCGAGAAGCGTGTTCGAGGTGAAGATTGACAATGCTGAGCCCGTTTCAGCGTTGAAGGAGGTGATTAAGAGGAAGAAGATAGATACGATTAAGTGCGAAGCAGATAAGTTGGAGCTCTATCTAGCGAAGATTAAGGACGGGGGATATTTGACGGATGACGATGCTTTGGATGCGATGTTACAGAGTGGAATTGATGTCACCTCCTATTTGAAGATGCGATCGTCGTGGAAGTTGAACAAACCAAATCTTTTTGGTCCTAATAATTCCCGAGAAGAGGATGTGGTTCACGTGTTG